CCTGCCCTCCCCCCTCTCGCCGGCAAGTGGCACGTACCTGTCTCCTCTAACCGAGTCTGAGCCAAGCTGGTGCTGTTGGGGTAGGACTGCACCGAGCTCATGTAAGGGTTGCCCGAGTGGCTGCTGACCGAGTTGACATAGGGGTAGCCCAGCGGTCTGGAGAAGGAGGACGCGGCGCTGTACGAGCTGTCCGGCTGCGAGTGGCCGGCCGAGTGTAAACAGTGCATGGAGTAGTGGCCGTGGGCCATGGGCGACGGAGGCATTTGCTGCCCGGGCGGGCCAAACTCCATGAAGACCGCCTTGCCTGAGACGGGGCTATTTAGGCTCTCTGGCATGGTGGTCATGGTCATTGCTCGCCGCTGACTCGGGTGTCTCTCTCGCTCGCTCTCTCCCTGCCTCGCTTGCTCTCTCGCTCTCCCTTTCGCTCTCTCGCTTTCTTTCTCTCTCGCTCGCTCGCTCTCTCTCCCTCGTCCTTGGGGGGGGGGGCTCTCTCCCGGCCTCGCGTTCCCGGGACCCAATTTAAGAGGCCCGGGGCTTTTCACTTTCCATTCATAAGAAAATGGAGTTTGGCTCTTTGAAAAAAAAAAAAAAAGTGTCTCTAAGGCAGGAGATGCTGGGGGGATTCTACCCAAACTCGCCTAAAAGCTTTGACTCAGCCAAACGCCATGAATATGCATGAGCTCGCCGAGCTGATTGGCCCGCCGTCTGGCAGAAGCGCTCGCGATTGGCCCGAGACGCTTTTCGGGGGGCTCGCCGGCTGGACCGGGCGAGCGAGCGAGAGACGGACTTCGCCTGAGGTGGAGGAGACGCGGCCGTGGGACCCTCTCTCCCTCCCCCCCCCGCGCCCTCTCCGCCAAGAGTGCGGGGGAGAAGACAGGGAAAAGGTCGCCAACCAGGAAGCCGGCCCTCTCCGGCCGTCCTCTTCTCCGATGGAGAGGACGGAATCCCGGCTCCATCCCGCCCCCCTCCCCCAGCTCGGCTTGACTTTTCTGGGTGCCCCCTCTCGGTGTGACTCGCGACTAACTCCACAGCAACTGTGTGTAAGCTGGAAAAAGAAGCACGAGGGTCTCCCACTCCTCCCCCAGGGGGCCCCCACCCCAACTTCTCCGGCTCTGCCTGACTCCTGCCCTTGCGGCCTTTTCAGGTGTGGGGTGGGTGGGTGGGAACCGCTTCGTGGAGCCTCGGAGCGGCCGCCGGTTGCGGGCCGGTCCTAGTCTAAGCCGCAAAGCGGAGGGGTGGGCGAGCGCAGTCGGCAGGTGTGATGGGTGTGATGGGGCGAGGCCGGCCAGGCCCCTCCTTGCAGGCGCTGCGCAATTCGCGGGGCAGGTTTCCCCCCCCCTCCCCGGGCTGCGTTTTTGCGCGCGAGAGGGGCCGGTGGAGCGGGAGGACTGCCAAACCCCACGGAAGAAGCGAGCTGGAGCGATCCGAAGCGACAGCCGAGCGCAAGAGGGGCGACGGACCGCGCTTCCACTCTCGGCAAGCAATGTCACGCGTGGGGGGGTCAGGTCAGGTCATTGAAGCGCTTCGCGCCGCATCAAGTTGGTAGCGACGCCGGCCAGTCTGAAGGGGGCGAGAACCAAGCCGGACTCGGTTAGACGAGCCCAAATTTAGGAGGGGATGCCCACTTTAGGAGTCAGAGCCTCGGGCCGTGAAATTTACTCCTTGCGACCCCCTTCAAAATCAATTATACTGTAGACCTGGCACCCCTCTAAAGTTTCTTTTAAAGTTGAAGTCCTCAAGAGAGGTGAGGGAACCGCGGGAAAGCTGCTGGGTCTAACTCCCCTGAGCAGCAGGTTAGTTGCAGACTAATTTTCTGAATAGTGGTTGCCCTGGACGGTTTTTTCAGAATTCAACCTATAAAGTACTAGGGGGCGATTAAGAAGGAAAACCTGCCCTTGGTGATAAATTCTAAATAACGGGCACGTTTGCTTTTCTGTGAGTTTGTCTGAGCAGCCTAAGCTTGAAAATGGGGGGGGGGGAAAGAGGGGGCGGAATAAGTCTCCCCGGCCTCTGTGAGAACAACGGGACTACTTTCGAATTCAAGTCGCACAGAAAAGGGGGCTGCGGGCTGAAGTGACCTGATCTGTTTCTACAACTTCCTTCCTTCCTTCCTTCCTTCCTTCCTTCCTTCCTTCCTTCCTTCCTTCCTTCCTTCCTTCCTTCCTTCCTTCCTTCCTTCGATTGTCTCTAGTTGAGCAGAGTAGCAAAATAGTTTCCTCGCTGTCGCCGGGCGAGGCCTCCAGGGTGCAATCTCCACTGACTTTCTGAAGTCTAATAATTAGAAAGCATCGGCGGCTAATTATTTCTTTCCTCTCTCTCTCTCTCTCTCTCTCTCTCTCTCTCTCTCTCTCTGTTTGTAGATTGAGATGCCGGGCGGAGCGTGCCATCCTGGAAGGGGGGGGGCGGGTTAAGGGTGGGAAGAGGGCTGATCTTGCGGAAAGTTCACACGTGCAGCTGTATTAGTTACTGATTCACTTGATTAAATGCTAGTCTCAAGTGCTCTGATCCACAGCTGAAGGCGCCCCCATTAGCATAACACTGATGCTTAATTCTCATACGCATAATTAGCCATATATTTAACACTAATGGCGGCGCGCGAAGCCTTTGGCGTGTTTAAACAACCGGGGTTGGGGGGGGGAAATATATAAATATATATATATATATATATCTATATATCACACTCACCCCCACGTGCACGCACGAGCCCCCCGAGACACGCACGCGCTCCTCTTTGGCCCAAGCTCCCACTTCTCCCTTCTCGGTTCCACCTCGGCAGCGTCGAGGGCGCGCACGGAACCTCAGCTCTGTAATCAAGCCCACTTTTTTTTTTTTTTTTTTGGCAAAGGGAGATCACCAGTAAAAACGAACATTCAGACAAATTGCATTGCGGGTGGCGTTATAGATATTAACGGGGGAGGCCTCCCTTCCCCGCCGGCTGGCTGGCTGGCTGGCTGGCTGGCTGCTTTTCAGAAGCCGGCGAGCAGCTCCTGAGCTTGCCGCGAGCTCGAAGGCGACGGTGGCGGGCAGAGAGAGAAGCGAGAGACCATCCCATAACGCCCCGCCGGCACCCATAGCGTCCACTTCCGACGGGCTCTGGAGAGTGGGGCTAAAGCGGGGCCATCTGCCTCCCTGGGACTCTTTCCGAGGCTGGGAGCCCCTTCTTGCTTCCCGTCCCCCCCTCCCCCGGCCGCGCCAGGGAAGAGCGGCGCCCTCGGTGCCCACCGCAACGCACCTGGCGACTCAGCCCGCCCTGCCCGTTTTTTCCTCACCTGGACCCCGGAGCGCGTAAGTGTGGTGGCCACCCAGACAGGTCTGGCTCGGGTGGGCGAGGGGAGCGGAGTGGGCCCGGGGAAAGGAGAAGGGACGGGAATCAAGCCTTAGTTCGGGTTTTTTTGAAGTTCCCGAAAGTGTTTCCGAACTGGGAGAAAGTTTGGAAGTGGCTGGAGGAGGAGGAGGAGGAGGAGGGGGCAAGTTGCCTCTCAGCTCGGAGTCCAGGTCCTTCTTGGATGGAATGGCGTTTGAGTTCGGTCTCACTCTCCTAGTCCTCATTGAGGCTAATCGGATGGCTTTTTCAGCCGGCCGGTGGTGGTGCGCTGAGCAAAAAAAAAAAAAAGTCTGTTTAAAGTTGGGCTGTTCTGGGGTCTCTGCAAAAAGCACCGGTCTCGGGCCTGCAGATTTTCTTCCTGCGAGAGAAAGGAGAGTTTTCGGGTGAAGCGCCTGGCCGGATGGCCAGAGACGCCTTAGAGGAGGGTTAAGTTTTGCACCGGCCTTGCCAAGCGGGTTGAAGGGAAGCTGGAGGGCGGGGTGGGGTGGGGGAACTATTGCATTTGTCTCACGCGCGCTGGAAATCTGCACCGGTTCTTGATTTCGCATGAACGCGCCGGTCTGAATCAACGGAATTCTTTTGCTTTGCGTAGAATTCGTTTTCTGTGCTCACGCGGCGACTTCGGTTGGGCCCTTTACACTGAAGTAACCCAGCTGAACTCAGCCAGACCTACTTTTAGGTCGAAACCCATCGGGTGGTCCTTTCCGTCGACATCTGTGTTAGAATTTGTTTGAAATTCAAGGGGGGGGGTGGCCGAATCCATCAGTGGGCCAACCATTTAATCAGGTCTGGTAACGCAGCTTTTTTTAATCAATTCTGATAAAGCCTGTCCACTTCTGGCTTATATACTGGGCGGAGGAAAATGGTCACTTCTTAAAGGAGTACGCGGGGCCCTACGGTGGCTGCCCCCTTTCCTCGTCCGGCCCCCCCCCCGGACGCTGTGGCTGACCGAAACCACAAAGTGAAGGATTCCGATCGGCCCAAAGCTTAACTTCGTTGAGATTGAAGACTCTCCTGGAGAACTCCAGTCCGTTCATCCCTAAGGACTTCTGAGAAAACACGTGTAGAGATTGCACGTGTGGAGGACATGTTGTGCCTGCGGGGAGTGGGCAGAAAATGCGCTTCCCACTTGATCGCGCGGGGACCTCGATTTTGCTTGTTTTCTGCACCTGCTTATGACCGGAGCAAACGGACGTTATTAAATAATTGGGTCAAAGTAGTTTTGTGAGGTTGGGGCTCTGAAGTCCCTGAAGTGGAAATGCTTGAGAGATGTTCCTGGAGGGGCAGGAGGACAGGGAAGGAAAAGAGTTGTTTTATCTAGAAACCCACCAACTTTGTGTTCAGATCTAGCGGGGGGGGGGGAGGGAGGGAGGGAGGGAAGGAAGTGCCAGTCAAGCACAGAACTTTCCAAACTTTGCTATTCTTTTCACTGTCCCAGTGACAGCAACGACTCTCTCTCTCCCTCCCTCTCTCTCTCTCACACACACAAATAAACCTTTCTGCAATCACCTTAATCATTAGGATTATAAATGTGTATCATAAATGCTGCTATCTCAGTCTAATTGCTAGGCAAACAGCTTGTTACCACAGCAGTTGGTAAAATCCTGCAGTCCTAATAAAATTAACCTGAGGGGGGAGTAACCCTCTGGGAAGGCTGCAATTAAACAGAGAGAGAGAGATGCTGGCCCAGTACAGAAGATGTACCCTTAAGCCTAGGCATAGCTACTCAGTTGTAAATCTCTGGGTTCCGTAGCACTGACTGGACTCTCGTGGAGATACATAGAGGTTTGTGACTTTTATATGCAATAATCAAACCTTAGTTCTTCCACTGAACTAAGTAGGAAGCACAGTGTTGTCTACCTCAGACCCAAGTCGCTGGACACTTCAGAAGTGTTACTTGCTTAGGAGAAAGTCTTGGGCAACTACTCAAAGCCTGTGAGATTTATCTTTTTTACTCCAACCCAACGTGGAAGGCCAGATGTAGTTCTGTTTTTCACAAACAAGCCTATACCAATGTACACATTGGTATAGTCTGCTAAGCCTTGATTTGGTTTCATAAATACTTTATTGCATAAACCCACAATGCCTGGTTTCATACATTCGTGAAATCATAGAACATAGTTTATGAACACAGGTTAATCCCAAACCCAAGGGCTGGTATGGTGGTTTAATGTTCTGTGTAACTCCAACTGCCCGGGGGGGGGGGAGAGAGGAAGTTCCCAGAGGAATCTCCAATCAAAGAGTCTTGTGTCACCTTAAAGCTTCATGCATTTATTATAGTTGGGAGGTAGTGGATTGCAGCGCCATGGACTATAGGTTGCCGGAGCTGGTGTCCTCCGTTTACACCCTTTAGTAGAAAGAAAGGCGACCTGGGAAATAACCAAACTCTCGAAGAGCCGATTGATGCTCTTCTGAACTCAAAAAAAAGAGCCCACGAAATGTAAAGACAGGTGCCATGAACTTGGGGCCTTCTTCATCAACCCAGGTCCTTCATGGCAAACAGGTTTAGGCTTTCTTCGCTTAATTGATTGGGCTGACCTGCTGGTTCCTGACCCGACCTTCCCAAATCAGATTCTCTGTTGCTTAAAGCGCGGGGGGGGGCTCTGTCTCTCCACTTTCCTCCCCCCCCCCGTGAGTTGTCCGAGAAGTGAGGGAATCAAATTTGCCCAAGTATCCAACTTAATTAATCCAGCTTAATTGGGTTGCTGAATTCATTCTTTTTTTTTTCTGAGTTCGCACGAAAACAAACCAAACGAGTTGAGTTTGCCTGGAGAAGGATAAGCTCCCGTCCCTCATCCAGTTTTGCAACTAGTTGACGCGAGGTGTTTCATGTCAACCATCCAATCGAGCTATTGTGAGAATCCAGCCCGAAAGTTGGGTCTTCCACACCGGTGCTCTGATTCCTTCCAGGCCTCGTTCCATCGTACACAGCCACATATTGGTCAAGGACAATGGAGATTGTAGTCTAGCAGCTCTGGAGGAGCGCCAGTGTGGCAAACTATGATCTACTCTCCTTCAAAGCATGGTGAAACCCCCCACACTCCTTTTAATATTGGAGCAGCGATATAACTCCTTTATAAGCAAGGGAGGCCTCGCTGTTTACGAAGTGGTCGTCAAATCTCCACCATTCGTAAACTAGGATTTGTGTCTTAAAGAGACTTGTGTGAATCCAGACAATATTTTTTTTTTTTACTCAACCATGGTTTCTCGCCAAATTGCCTATTCCTAGCTAGGCTCTCACCAAAATTTGATTTCTGTCCCAGAGCCTTTCTCTTACCCGAGTACACCTTACCAAATTTTAATTCCACAACGACCCAGCGCTCGAAAACAATTTATTACCGGGGAACAATCGGATTATTTTTTTATATAAAAAAAAACTCAAAACAAAACTAAGCGAATTATAATTTTTTTGTGCCGGCCCTCCCGCTTAACGCTACCTTTTGGAGCGCGCGTGAAAGGGGGGCAAGAAAAAGAAAACAAAACCCACCACCTCGTTAACGAGCTCGTCGAAATCTGCTTTAACGTGTTTTTTCTGAATGAAGCCAATTTGGGGGGGGAGAGGGCGTCCGACATTCCACCGTTTGCTTTGATGGTTCCTGCTGACGAAGCCACCGTGGCCAGGTTTCACAGTTTGGCTTAGGCTACTAGAGGAAAACTGGGAAACGTAGATTACTCTCGAGGTGAACCCGAGTACCGTAACTTTTGCCTGCGTGGGTCGGCGGGGGGGGGAATGAGCTTCGGGCTTTAGCGTGATTGTTACCCCCGGGGCACTAACCCGAAAAGTGAATTTCAGGCGACTGACGCCGCCGAGTCCAGTCAGGAGATTCCCTTCTTCCTCCCTTCCCAGCTCGCGCCTATTTGTCCTATCCAAGGAGCTCCTTTGCATTGGCAGCTGCATCCTCTCTATCCCAACCAGCCGCTTTTCCAGCAAGGGGGCATTTCGCTCGCCTCCCCCCCCCGTAACTTTCCTTCCCCCCCCCCAGGCTCTTCCCTCATTGAGATTCGGCTTTAGCTTAGCTGATCCTGCTTCAAGTTTGTGCGGGGAGGGGGGGGCTCTGGCTTGGCCCGCAATACCTGTGTAGAAGGTCTCCAGCAGCTAGCCTGGAAGGCCCTTAACCCACGGGGTAGAGAGCTACGTGTGTGTGTGCGCACCCGCGTCTGTGGCTTCCTTCTGGGCATTCAGGTGCCCCCCCATAAGGAAGCCCTTAACTGCCAGCCTGGAAGGCCCTTAACCCCCAGGTTAGAGAGAGAGAGGTGTGTGTGTGTGTGTATGTGTATGTGGCTTCTTTCTGGGCATTCAGGTACCACCACCACCCCATAAGGAAGCCCTTAATTGCCAGGACTTCAAACTTCTCCTCTTTTCCTGGAAGATTTGGCTTGGGATCTGGGGCAAGACTCCTCTGATCAAGCAATACCTCTGCAGTAAAGATGCAGGCCTCGGTCAGGCTGGAGTCCAGTGGGAAAAGGGGCACCAGTTTAGGCAAGATCACCCTCAAGTAATAATATCATCCTCAGAATAATTAAGAGTAACAGTAACACAGTAAAAAACCACTTTTTCTTTTTTAGCAAAGGGAGGGGTTGTTGGGTCTGAAGGTTCTGATATACAGAGAGCTTGACTGGCTGCTAAAGATGTTAAGTGGCTGCAAAAGCCGCAAGAAATAAAGTTTGCCCTTTTGCTTTGCTTGTTATTTCCAGGTCTTTGAAAACCCATTTGACTATGTAAACATGTGGGCACTGCCACAGGGACTAGGAACAGCCTCGAAAGAAAGCATAAGAAAGAAAAAAAAACAAAGGGAGAGGGGAGGAAGAAACACACCCTCATTTTATTTTATTTTATTTAGGAAAGAGGGGATTATATTTTTTTGTATAGTTGTGGAGTAGGGTTACAAGCTTTGTTTAAAGATTATCCCGTTTTTTACATCACTGTCCTTTGAGGATCCTGCAGAAAGCAGCTCCCCTAAATAAATAAATGGGTTGATGCAGCCCTTCGTGTGCCAGCTTTTCCCCGGGGATGCACCACAGGAAAAGGTTCTTCTGCCAGCTGGTGGCTCTTAAGTTTCCTTAGCCAGGAGGGTCAGGATTTCTGCTCCTTTGTCTGTAATGACAATGGTGTGCTCGAACACGGCTGATCTGAAAGAGAGGCAAGAAGCAGTGAGCTTGAGGACAGGGTGGTCCTGGAGCCTAAGAATTCCATCTTGAAGGAAAAAAATGCATGAGATCCAACAGAACTTCCAATTAGGGAATTATAAATTAAACTGAGAATTAAAATGACAACAGGAAAGGTGCTGTACTACCTTTTGAGGTCTGCGCTTATCAGAGTCCAATCATCATCCAGGAGATAACATTCAATCATCCCTTCCATTATTACAGGCTCTGATGCAACAAACAGAGGATGAAATAAGTATTGTGATAGTGATTCCGCCCGCAAGCTTGTCCTTCCTAACCCTCAAGTTTGCCAGTTTGTCCAGATAAACCATCTTGAATTTTACTGAGCCTGTGGCTCAAAAAATCCAATCGCAAAAGGAAAGTAGCAAGGAACCATCAAGCTAGAACCTGGATGCGGCCCTGTTTCAAAAGGTGGAAGAAGGGCATTTTAATCAGGCTTTAATTAAGATCCTCATGGATCATAACAACCAAAACCCCTAGCCACGTTCCTCCAAAGAGCAGGCAGGATGGAAATATTTGATTTTTTTTTAAAAGCAGGTTTTAAAATGTTCATTAAATCAGCAAAACAACAATTTTCTTATTTCCCCTTAATTGCTGTACCATTTAGGCACGCCGTGAGCGAGGAATACATTTTTTCCCTCTCTCTTTCCACCCCCTGATAAGCTGTTGATGATTGGTATTTAGTATGTTCAATCTCCCAGGTGAGGGCTGCTGACTGGCTACTCAGCCAAAATGACAGAAGGGTAGCTCCTGCGTTCCAATAAAGGGGCATAATTGTTTCCAGAGAGTTGGGTGGTTAATCTGTTATTTGGGGGGGGAATCAGCCTTCAAACTGATCTCTTGCTGTGAGCTCAGCTTCACTTCCTCCCAAAACCCACTGGGCTGTCATGACACAATCTAAATCTATCCTTAGGATGGACGGAGGAATTGTCAGCTCTCAATTTCCCCCTTGCGTGAAGCTTCCAAACCAAGGCTAGGATTGGTCATGAACAGCTGTTCTGCTCTGGGCAAATCAACCCATGAAAACTATCTCAGGCAATAAAGCCATCTCACCTCTGGATAGAGAGATGGGCAGCATGCCAATTTAATAAATAAAATATATAATAAAATCAGAAGTCAGTGATAGATTATTTTTTTTTAAAAAAAATCAAAATTAACAAAATGCAGATACTATCACGAAAATCCAAATAGAAACCGTGTATCCAATGACTTAAGAATAACTATACTAAGACATTAAAGATTCAAATAGAGGTGCTTGGGTATTGCTCTATTAAAACAATAGCAGTACTAATGACTCTGGAGAAAGGAAATCCAATTGAGCAGTAAGACAGCATGAAGATATTGCCACAGTTTTAATACAAACCATAACAAACCTATTGTGAATGCCATTCCCTTCTCCATTAACACGTCATTTTCGTTGGCTGCAAAATAAAATAGAAATTACCCAGGTAAATAAAAAGATGATCTTTTGCTAGAAATTGTGTTTCCCTCAGATAGGTCCATTCTCTAGTTTAAGCCCATCTTTACCCTGCAAAGTTTCTCATCTGTCCTAGATTATTCTGAATTCAGAAGACAGTACTGGCCAATTTGTCTGACTTCAGAGACGGGACTGGTCAATTTGAGGCTAACCCTAACCTAAGTATTCATCTAGTTGGAATGAAAAACTATCAAAGGAAAGAAATACTGAGTTCAGATTTTAAATTAAAATTACCCTATAAGCTTGGGGAGACAAAGAAACTAAAGGAGATCTAGGCGAATGACTATTTTACACAGAGAGTGGAGTCCAAACCTCACACCTGCATTCCTCGGTATCATTACTTGAACATAAATAACACAAGTTACTTCCAAGTAGAAGTGAAAAGATGCTAATATTCTCCCTCTACCCCCTCCCCCCAGTTTTTAGTTATTAATTTCAGATTAGGCCCAAATGCTGCTTCTGTTCCAATCCCCAATGTGGGAAAAAGTCTGGGGGGTTCTGAGGGATTATTGTCAAGAGCTGTCTTTTAGCAATACCTACATTTTTAATGTGAAAAGGTAATCCACGAAAATCTGAAGACAGATGACAAAAGAAACGTGTGGCATTCAGTATCAAATGGAAACTAGAGTTTCTGATTCTGTTTCCCCATACTGCTCTTTTGCACAAAAGCCATGTCTCAGAGGAGAGTCAATCCTACAGTGTACCCTCTTTCTTCCATTAACGTCTAAAGTTAATGGCCTCAAGTCAATTGCTGTAGATACCAGTTGGGGCCATGTATTGTATAAAGCTATCTTTTTCCAACCTGTCTCCTGGAGATGGGCAATTCCAATATTCTTGGAAGGCACTAGTTTGCACAAGGCTTCATGAAGTCACATGTGATTTAGTTTGGCTTAATGCAATGTACAAACCTTAGTTTTAAGCACTGCAGTAGTTTATTACAGTAGAAATCTTGTCATAAGATTAGTGCTTGCCAAAAATCTGATCACTAGAACTGGTTCAACATACTATGATTTATCATGATGAGCAGGAACGCCAAAACCTTATTAGTATTTGTCACGCAAGCAAACCAGAAGACCTTAAGAGGCTTAGCACCAATGGTGAGCAGTTTGAATTAGTGTGGAAAGAAAAATGCCTCCCACAATTCTGGAATATGTCAGGATAGTGCTTCTGTTTGATCATCTTTCTGATTTGTTCATGTGAATTTTCCCTTACAGTCCTTTACTTCCATTGAGTAAGCAAAGGGACAATTATTTCTAAGAAGTGACAAAATCACTTGCCAAAATTTTTATGTACTGGCAGGAGCACACAACCCTTTTGCGGTTGGATGCAAATATAATGTAAGGTATTCAAAGGACCACGGAAAAATTAAGGAGGGACCCTCTTACCATGTTGCCAAACTTCAGGATTACTATGTAAGTTCGTTCCTATCCCATGACCACCAATGTAAGGGCAGACTTGAAAACCATTTTGATGTGCAATGTTGCTTTAGAAAAAACACAGAAATGTTTAATATAGCAAACAATTTCCAAATTCAGAAGAATGCATTTCGTTAAAGATATCATCATTATCACGTTTTCACAAAAGAACACAGCCAAGGATCCTGACACTACCACTTTGCGTCAGAAAAGTGCATTCTCGTATTTTCCTAAAACTCAAAGACTTCATTTCATTTCTGAAATGGCAGAATATCCTGCTGTTCAGTCTCTGTAATAAAAAGGGAAAAGGGAATGAGGAATGTTATGAATGAGGATCTCCATCAAGAGCTAGGAAAGTATTAAGAGCTTTACAAAGATAATTCTGTTTTTTGGAGTGTTATCCTGGCTCTAAAAATCAGGAACTTTAAAAAACAATTACATTTGTCCAGGAACTGACAGAGGATTATAAAGTTAGAATTACTTTAAATCCGCCAAGCATTAGATCAGTACTTTCATTATTTGTAAAGCTGGGAATCTGTATCCAAAATTGTACATTTTAGGCATACAAGCATTTATAAGAGGAAGATTTTGCAACCGTAGTGCTTCCAATTCTTGTTTAGTGCTTTCTATAATCCTGCCTTAAATAGAGATAGGACAGAATTTGTTTAGTTTGTATTTGACTATGAACTTACCTACTTATCTATAGTTTCAAAGCATTATTTGGACCAAACTTTTGCCATAGTTCAAAATTTGCAGTCTTTTGAATTTACAATACACCTCAACAATGAAAAAATACATTAGGGAAAAGATTACACAAAATGCATATATTAAAGTCAGCATGGTCAAGTGGTTCAGGCACCAGGCTAGAAAGCCGGAGATGGTGAGTTCTAATCCCACCTTAGCCATGAAAGCCAGCTGGGTCACCTTGGCCAGTCACTCTCTCTCAGCCCCACCCACTTCACAGAGTTGTTGTTGTGGGGAAAATAGAAGGAGGAAGGTATATTAGATACGTTCACCACTTTGAGCTATTGGTAAAAATAATAAAGGTGGGATACAAATAAATAAAAATAAGCAAAATAGGCAAAATACACTGTATTACAGGAAAGAAAAATGCACACTTGGAGAAATGGTTTTCAAAACTCAGACACGTTTAATTCAGATTTCTTTAAAAACAAGTCCTTATGTTTGATGAAGCAAGCCATCTATTTGCAAAAGTGAGGAAGACCCAACACGAAAACCCCAAATTGATAGGCTCATCTCTGGCCTTAAACAGAACCACAACCATGGCTCCCTTTAGTTGAGTGGAGTTGGCTTTATCTCCAGTAGGATCCTCCAGAATTTGCAGAATCAGAAGAGCTGGGTAACTGTTGCTTTTCATTCAGAAGGAACTCAGAAACCTGAAAATTGCCATTTTCCTTTAAAGGCATTCCCAGAGCACATATAGGTAGTACAATAGAGATGACAGGCAACTTCTTTTCTCAAATAAAAACGCATGTTGCCCTCTCTACTGGATTACATTGGAACCTAAAGCCTGGCAATTTATTGTTGTCAACCTTAATCATGGTGTTTTAACATAAAATATTTTAAAAGGTAGCACTGAGCCACATTAGCATATGTTTGGAAAGGTTAAGGATCTGTTAATAGCTTTATGTGCGTGTGGCTTTAAATATAAAGTAAAAGTCCCTGTCCAGGTGTGTTTGACTCTAGAGGGTGGTGTTCATCTCTGTTTCTTAGCTGAGCAAGCCAGCGTTGTCCGTTGTCCATGACTATACGCTAAGGTGCACAGAATGTTGTTACCTCCCCACCAAAGTGGTACCTATTTATCTACTCGCATTTGCATGCTTTCAAACTGCTAGGTTGGCAGCAGCTGGGAGAAGGGAGCTCCCCCCCCCTGTGGTGCGGTGCTTGGGACTTGAACCCAGGCTGTCAGCTTTCCAGAAGACAAGCTCATCATATTTAATTGCTGAGCCATCACAGCCCCACAGCTTTAAATATAATGAACATTATAAAAGAATTAGGCATGGAGTACTAGATTGATCTTTTATATTAGTTAAATTAGGGCGAACTTTTTGTCCAATATAGTATGTTGAAAGCATAGTAGAAACGAGGGCAAAGTTTGCTAACCATGAGTGTGAATCTTGCAAGTGAAAACACCATAGTTTAGCAACTTGAGATTAGACCGCAAACAAATGTTACAGCATATTGGGGTAAGGAACACCAAATGTTTTGATCAAATTCAATCACTGCCAGTCAGTCTGATTAATAGCAAAGAACAGTAGGAGGAATAGTTGAAAACAACTGGATGGCACTCTGCTGCCTATCCCTGCAGTACAACTTCATCATCACTAACAGGATGTGTCTTCCTCTGGGTTAATAAACTGTTAAGGGTTCAAGCTAATTCAGTTCCCACTGTTCCAATATAAGAGAACATACACAGCTCAGGATTGAACCATGGAGCCCCTGGACTCCACAATTCCCATTGCCTTTATATTTTTCAATTCACTCAGAATATGGTGGCTCCTAATGCTGCTAACTGGATTTAATCCTCTTTGGACTTGTCTTTGTTAAAAAAACAACAACAAAGAGAGGACCTCTTTCAGTTCTCTAGGAATGCATATGAGTGCATATACAGTGACACATTTGTTATTGCTTTGTGGCCTCATTTTAGTTCCTTTTTAGAGGCATTGTAGGAAAAAATGATGCTACATATACTTTCACATCCCTAATTCCCAACTTCCTCACTTTTGAAGACTGAAACCATGTTTTACAGAATATTTTATAGAATATTCAAGGCAAATATTCTTTAACAATGCCATTGCCACTGAAAGTCGGTCATGGAAAAGGAAAGGCAGTTGAAAGGCCTTATTGCTCCAATTCTTTCATTAAATGAAGTCCTCTGTTTGTACATACTGTACACTTCCACAGGAACATGATAGAGATGGCTGTGACCACTGGCACTCATGAGTTGAGTCCAGAGTCCAGAAATGACATGCACGAAAAGCAGCAGTCTTAAAATGCTATATGTATAATTATGACTGTTGATGGAGTTCCGTTGGCATGAGATATTGTTAGCTCAACAAAATTACAATTTGGAGGTATTGTGGGAACTCATATTAAAAAAAGTGAATAGTCTTTTCTATTTCAAAGACCTCTGTGTCTGTACAGGCGAGGAATTGGTTTCTTTTCTCCCATTTATTTTACACATCACGTCAGGCCATGCCCTTTTGCCCCAATGCTCACGAGTGCATGGCCACAATCAAGTGCTACCAGGATACAGAAGACTCCCAACTACGGCAAAGTGGAGAAGTAGGTCAATAACTTTTCATTATGTTCACAGATAACACCTTGAATGGATTTTTCTGAACAGGTTCTATAGATTAGCTACTGCTTGCCTACCAGCACCACCAACAAAAATCTTTAGCTATTACAGTATTTTGCGTGATTCTGGTGCACAGCAGAGTATAGATCTCAAATGCATGATAGCTGAAATGTCTTTATGGATCACCTAAATACTCGCAGGGAGTTAAGTAATGACGCAAAGAAGCAGGGACATGGAAGTTAAAAGATGGGTAGAAAATCAGTCTTGATAGGATTTGAAAGGTTTAATTGGAGTCCCCAAGAAAAAATGAGAATGAAAAGAAGCCAGAAAATTAACAGTGTCCACACGGGTGCATAAAAATGAACAGGCTAAAGAGAAAATAACGAGTCTGTTTCTTGAACAATGCAGCAAACCGCCTTTTTATAGTTCTATACTTTTCTTCCAAGTTTGCTAGTGCCAAAATAATTGGATTAATTTTTTATTTGGGTTTATTCATGCTTATTATTTTGCAGCACTAAAGTGCTTTTTTTTAAAGAAAAAAAATTATTCTAAGATAGAAGTAGGATACTCAAAGCAAGTTTTTGACTTCCAAATTCTTTAATCCTAACTGTATAGCTTTATACTAAGCTGCCTTTAGTTTTGGAGTTGAAATTTAAACACGGAAATCCTGGGACCTGAATTTCTCCCATCTCTGCAATAAATCAGTGGCTGAGAGAGAGAGAGATGTTATTATGGTTATGCCAAGCTTCTATTCAAAGCTTTGACTGAATCATCCCTTCTAATTAATTGCCGCCAAACTAGTTGAAATAAGATCTTGCATGATTTACACATTCCTAGTTGACAGATAGAAAAAGATATGTAAACTTCAGTATGAAGGTTTTAAGTGGTTTATGTATAACCACCACTACAATCAAAGCAATCCCATTCATTTGGATGCAGTTTCTAATACGTGTCTGAAATCTAGTGCCCATTTTAGATCAGTGGGAATCCTGTAGTCATTGAGTATCGCCATTGGATGTGCTATTGCAAGGCTTTTCAACCAGTGGTACGGGTACCACCTGTGGTACATTGGCACCTGGCAGGTGGTATGCGACCATCCTAGAAAAGTGGTAGCAGGGGAGGGGAATGAGCTGAACCGGTGGCAGCACCGCACAAGCCTGAGCGAGAGATGGCTGGAGCTGCAGGACTGTCAGGGCTCAGTGGAAGCGCCAGGATCAGCGCCAGGCTCCAGCTGGAGCTCAGCGCTGATCCTGGCACTTCTGCTGAGCCCAGAAGAAGCGCCGATCAGCTGGAATGTTGCAGCATCTCCTGGGTCTTGTGATTTACGTTCAGATGCTTGGCAACTGATTCATATTTATGACGGTCACAGTGTCCCAGGGTCATGTGAAGTGATCAAAACCTGCTGCAACCACCCAGCAGACGGGGGGAATAAAAACCAAACATTCTCCCACCCCACCCCCGCTGCCAATCCTCAACAGAAATGCTCACAACAATGAAAACCTCGGACAGGAGGAAGAGCGCCGCCGGGTGGGCAGGCAGGTGTCTTGCCCCGCTGTGGCTTGGGGGGCACTTTTTTCAGTGCCATTGTAACTTTGAACAGTTACTAAGCGAACTGTTGTAAGTCGACTACCTGTACTTCATTACTTTTTTCCTTTTTTTATGGATCATCAAGTTTTTGACACCTTGCTAGGCGACTGGTGGTACTCGGATATTGCCATATCCTAAAAGTGGTACAGTGGGTGAAAAGGT